CTGAGCTCCTGGAGCTCTCACGGGCCAAGGGTGGGAGGCAGACAAGACCTCTGCCTCTGCCTCACCTCCCTGTTGGATCATGTCATGAGCCCAGTGGGTCTCAGTTGATAGCTACTGGCTGCCCCTCGAAGAATACCAGCTTCAGGAATCATCAGGCCTGGGCTCCCTGGTGCTTGCAGCCGCACCTCTCCCAATTCTATAAAGCCAGGGTGAGGTCAGAAACCAGGGAGGGCCCTCGTCTGCCCCTGCTTGCCCACCGTGGCCCAGCCTGGAGCTCAGGTGCCCCACCCTAGAGGGAGCTGTCAGATGTGGTCATGGATGCTTTCAAGTGTAGTCCTGCCAGGCGCAGCCACACTCTGGGTGGGGGCTGCCTGCTTGGCTGCCAGCACTTTGTAGACATAAGCTCCCTTCATAGCTCCCTTCATCTTGCCTGAAATCAGGGCAGGGAACATCCATCATTGCTGCCCCAGCCAGAAGTTGTGCAACCTGGGCACACTGCCCACAGGGAATGGGGGAGGCAGTGTTGAGAATCCACATCCATCCTCAATGGGTCAGTTCTGCAGGACTATTAGATCACCTGCCAATCCCAAGGGAGGGATGTGGGTGGCTCTGGGTGGTGGTAAGAAAGGGTGGGGTTGTGGGAGAAAAAGGATTTGGGGTCATACAAGGCTGGGCTTGAGTCTGGGTGCTGTTCTTCACCCTGTTTGTGCACCCATGTCCACATCTGTAAAACGTGGCTAATAATGCACCCATCTTGCAGGGTTGTGGTGAATCTCCAATGTGATAATGTTTGTGAAGTGCCTTAGTAAAATGCCCATTAAGGAAACAGGGCCTTTCATTATGAATACTGACATTTAGACTAATGAGACTCACCCAGTTGTATGTGCTTTACTGAACATCCAAGTATCTTATCGGAGTCACATTTTTGAGATGAGAAAACTGAGAATCAGAACTGCCCCATGGTCACAGAGCTGGTAAGGGAGTGGGAGGGGTGGGAGCTCAGGCCTCCTGATTCTCCATCCAACAGGGGAGAGATTTCCCAGGCAGTCCAGGGAGAGCTGTGGGCTGTGGGCTGTGGGCCTGTGAGCACAGGGCAAGGTATTACAGCCAAGGGTTGCCTGTTGGTCTGGGGTCCCTTCCACCTCTGACCAGGTGCCCTTCCTCCAGGAGGTTGTACCCCTGTACCTGGGCACAAGTCTTGGCAAGAGGAGCAAGGGCTGCATATCAGCCCCCTCTTACCCACCTCCCCAAATGTGCTTTGATGGTGATCTTCTGCTCTAGCATTCTGGGCACTGAGCTGCCAGGGATGGTTTTTCTGGGATTAAGGGGATAACTCCACCTTCAGGGATTTCCCAGAAGCCACAGAGGGGTTGGGGGGGAGGTGGATGCTGCAGGGTCTGAGATTCCTTTGTCTGAGGGCCCCTCCCGTCACCCCTAGTCCCAAAGTCTGGGGTATTTTGTAGCAGCCCCAAGAACAGCTTCCCAGTCTCCTGGCCTGGCACTGTGCCTGAGATCTGGGCCACACTAGCCACACCCTTGGCAGGCCTTTGCCAACTGCAGCTGAGCCAGCCCCACCCTCCCTGGCCCAGCCTCAGAGAAAGCTCGAGAGTCTTCACGCAGCTACCCGAGCTCCCTGGAGAGGTCTGACAGCTGACAGATTGTGCCAGTCACTGAGCCTGCTGGGAATTTACAATGTTAGCAGCAGTAATTAGAGCTCATGGTGGGTGAGGGTGGCACCAGGTCTTTCTGGAAGAGTCTAGATACTGCCTCTCTGGAAGTCCATTTCCAAAAATCCATCTCCAGCCTGCCTACCTTCTAGGCCTACAATTCTGGCTAGCTTTGGGGTGACCTCACCCCCATCACTGCTGAAGGGGAGCCAAGGAGGTACCAGGTGGGAGGGCTGGGGGTCCGTTCTCTAGCTCCTCCTGCCCTGCTGTCTAGCAGAAAGAATTTCTCTAGCTTGGGAGTCTGGGGATCTGCATGTCTGACTCTGTAACCTTGGCCTACAGCCAGCTCCCATGACTCATTTTCTTCATCTGCACAATGAGACTGTTGGACTTGGTGTTCTCTAAGGCTCCTTCCAGCCTGGTGAATCAATAGTTTCGCCTCCACTGCCCCCTTCCCCCCAGGTCCCCTGCTGCCCACTGTGTCCTCTAATGCTGCTGGAGGGCATGTGTCTGTGGTGAGTGGAGAGAGGGTGTCGTCCCCTGTGGTGGCCATGGAGGCAGGAGACCCTATGTCTTGGGTGTCCTGAGAGCCCTTGTCAGGATGAGGAGGGGCTGGAGAAAAAAGGCCAGGGGCCTGGTGATGGGGCCAGTTTGCCAAGAAAGGCCAGTAGGAGGCCAGGGGCCTCCAGGAGCATCTCAGAGAGGCAAGGGATTGAGGAGAAGGGGAAAATGCTGGCAGGAGAGGAGGCCACAGGAAGCGCTGCCCAGCCTCAGGGATGCTGGGTGTCCAGGGGGGAAGGCTGAAGGGGACCCCAAGGCCCCATCTGTGGAGAGATACCAGGAGAGGTTCTCCTACACCCCGAAGTCCCGCATATGGGAAGGTCGCTCACCCGCCCCACATCCCCCGTCCCGATGCGGAACTGGAGTTTCCTGTTTTCCTGCCTGCCTTCCTAGCAGTACTTTTCCCTTTTACTTAGATACAGAGCAGAGGTGTTGAGGCTGAACCCTCTGTCTGGAAGGGACAGGGCGTAGTACGCTCCCCATCCTTCCACAGGGAATGGACACTGCTACCCCTAGTAGCTATGCAGGGTTCCGAGGACAACAGCTTTGGGCTTCCAGGCTGACGGGGACCTGACTTACAGGGAGGGCTCCCTCCCTCGTCGAAACCTGTTTCGTGCCCCTCCCGGTGAGCCATCAAGCAGTTTTTTCCCCCTTCTCTCTGTCGCCCTCTAGTGTGCTCCTGATGCTACCACACCTCACCTTTGGCCCCGGTCCCATTTCTGGGACTGCTCACTCCCTGGCTCCCTCATTCACTTGTTTACAGCATTTCAAGGGTGCCTAATTTGGGGATGCAGAGACCAAGAAGGCATGGTCTGGGCTCCAGAAGCTCACAGATTTAGGGATAGACATGCCAACAAATAACTGGGGCCCTAATGGCAGGAACAGACCTAGAGCTGGAGGAAGCAGGGGTGGGAGTGGCCACTGTGGCTGGGGATCAGGAAGGCTCCCTGGAGCAGGAAACAACTGTGCTCAAACCATGAGCTCACCTGAACCTGTGGAGATGGAAAGGGCATGCATAGGGGTCCAGGGCAGCGGGTCTGATGCAGTGTATTGGAGCCAAGTGCAGTGACAGGGGAGGAGTTTGGAGGTCCAGCAGGAGTAAAAGATGCCAATTCTAGATGGAGCCATTCGGAAGGCTTTCCAAGCCCTATGAGCTGGTGGACATGGTGACAGGATGCAGGGTCCACAGGGTGGGGAGTTCTGTTTCATTAATTCAACACTGTGGCCTCAGAGCCAGGGACTGGGCATGATACATACTAGGTCTTCAGTCAGCATGTGTATAATGAGTATTTTTGAATGAATGATCCGATTTGTATTTTAGATACAGTGGGATGAATTGGAGGGGGCATGTCCCAGGCAGGCCATCTAGTAAGGAGGTAGGCATGGGAGTGTCCTGGTGAGGGTCCAAGGAATTTTGGGGCAAGAGCAGAGGTGGGGCAGAAGGAAGAAGTGGCATGGTCTGGAGGCAGACTGGCTGTGGGGTGCGATGGATGGATGGGTAGATGAGGAAGGCAGTCAGGCTGGGCCTTGAGTGGGTGGAAAGGTAAATGTGGGAAGGAGCAGATAAGGGTTCTGTGTGACACCCAGAGTTTTTATGCCCAGCTTAGGATGTTTCCTGCCCCCCTGCCCAGCAGGGGGCATCTCCAGAGCAGGGCCAAGTCCACTCTTTCTGCCACCCCAGCTGCCTGCCTGAGGCCCAGTTTTGCTGAACTTTAGTAAAGGGTTAAAGAGATCACCAGTGCTTCTTTGAACAGGCTTCCTCAGACCAGAAACAGTCAATGGCCAGAAGGGCACCCCTTAAGGTTTGAGAGAAAAGAAACCTTTGAGAGTCACGTGTTGACACAGCCTTAGAATTCGGGTGCACCCCCCCGCCTGGCTCTGGGGACGAGACCAGACAAAGGACACCTCTTGTGTCATGGCTCATGCGGACCTGAGCCATGGACATGCCAGTTGCCCCCAGAAGTGGACCTGGGTTCTTAACCTGGGGTCCTTACAAGCTTCAGAGTATCTAAGAGCCGAAACTGCATGCCACGACATTGTGGGTGTGTGCACATCCTTCTGGGGCAAGGCTTCCTGGGGCACCAGATTACCAAAGAGCTCTTGATTCAAAACAAGGTGAAAATCTATCACACTTACGGAAAAGGAGGAGGAGAAGGGGCATCTGTGTATTTGTTTAGCTATATATAAAAGAAAGAAATACAATGTGAGTAGCTATTTAAAATAAACCAACCACTCTAAACTCCCTTTCCAGTGCCCAGCTGGGGCCGGTAAGCAGTCTCTCATGGAATCCTCACCTGTCCCTGTGTGGGCCCTCTTAGCCCTGTGTGACACCTAGCGGGAAGTGGGGAGCCTGGATTCACAGCCAGGAGGTGCTCCAAATTGGGTTCTAGCAGCTCTGGGCTCTGCAACACCCCAGCTGTAGGGGGGGGGTATCCTATGTGTTGGTCTATGCCTTCTCCCTTGCCCTGACCCCATCTATTGTTGAAGCTAGGTGGGGTGTGGGGTTGGGGGCATGGATGTGTTCAAAGCCCACTGGGTCTCCAAGCTGGAAGGGAGGTCTTCTTGGGTCCCTGTTTTCCTCCACACCAAGTTGCAGGCTCTGCAGACTCATGTGCTGAGGTGGGGGAATGGTTCCTTGAGGCCAGCTCTTCTCTCTGGGGTCCCAAGGAGCCTGACCCCTTCTCATTTCTTGGAGGGAAGGACCTAAAGACCCCATGCCCTCCCCACACTCCCTAGGTGCCCAAATCCACAGAGGCCTGGTCTCACCAACTGTTGTCCGGGCACCAAGTGTTTTATTAGAGTCCAATTTTTATCCGCACCGCGGAGAAGAGAGGGAGAAATAGGGGGGAAACTGGACCAGACCCCAGAACCCCCCCACACTGGAGCCCAGGGCATCTGCCCTATTGGGCCAAGGAAGACTGTGAGATCCCTGAGGGCCCCAGGAGGAGTGGACTGGGAGCAGCACAAGAGGGCTGGAGGCCACTGCTTCCCCATCGGTGCCCCAGGCGAGGTCCTCAGTCTTGATCCTACCCTTCCTTGGAAGGGCTGTAGCACCCCTCTCTGGGAAGCCTTGGCTAACCACCTCTGCACTAGATCCTGAGGAAGAAGTGCTCCCTTGAGCACATGTCATCCTGTGCCCATGACCCCGTACTGCCCTCTGGCGCGTGTCACAGACACTGGGCACACGGGACATGGGCCCGCTCAGTCATGGTACTGCACTGCTTTCCTCCTCACCGGCTCTGTTCCGTCTACCCCATCCCTCTGTTACTCCTGACCTGAAACCTTTTGGTCTCAGGGTCAAATGCAGTGGTGACCTCTATGTCCCAGCTCTTGTCATGCAGAAGGCCTGGCTCGTGTGGTCTTGGCCCAGGGCATAGAGTGAAGACTGGAGGAGAGAGCCTGGCCTGGAGAGGAGAGGTGGGACCAAGAGTGGACTTCCTGGCCCCTCAGGCTGGGGCTTAGGGGCCCACCTAGTCTGGGCATTCCTGGGCTGGAGGAGAGGTTTGGGGAGGCTGTGGACCAGCCTCCAGCTCCAGGCAGTCAGGGTCCCCTGCAGTCAGCTCAGTAGGATGGTTGTGCGCCAAACGTTAGGCCATTCTCCATTCTTCCTTCCATCTATAACTTAGATCCTGCTTACTGTCCCACCTCCTTGTCTGCCCAGTGACAGAGGGGAGCCGAGGGCCTGGTGCAGTGGGGAAGGGAGGCCCCCAGATCTGGCACCTTCAGAGGTCTCCCTGGGTTCGTTGAGCTGAGTTCCTCAGCCTAGTGAGCTGGCATCAAGCAGAAAGTGGGGCAGGGTGATCCCTGTGTTCACAACGGCTCTTTGTTCCCTAGACATGGTGGGCAGGCAGGAGGTGGGCGTAGGAACCCTCTAGGAGCAGCAGAACCCAGCTCCTCCTTGTCTGTGGGGAACCCCATCCTCAGGTCTTCCCTGGCCCCAGGACCATTTTGTAGCGGTGGGGTGTAGTCCCCTCTTAAGCCTTGGGTCCTGACCCCTTGCCTCTCCCTATGCCAGTGGCACCAAGCTGGGTCTGGCTGGACTTAGAAGCCCCCACTCTCTGAGCTGCTCCGGCTGTGGTAGCTGGGACTGGGGGTCCGGGAGGGGCTGTGTGAGTGGCTGCGGGTCCCACGACTGTGGCTGCTGTAGCTTCCATGGCTGCGGCCAGGGCTGGGGCTGTGGCTGGGGCTTCGGCTTGAGTAGTCGCTGCTCAGGCAGCTGGAGGAGGACGAGGGGCTGGGCCGGTAGTAAGGGATGGGACGCTTTCGGGCACTGCCAGGAGGGAAAAGCCAATTATAAGCCATCCAGGGCTCTGAGCTCTGCCCATCCTGGGCCCTCCCTCAGGCCCAGAGCCCCTCCTCAGCAGTGGCCAGGGCTTTCCTACCTCAGTTTCCCCTGAGCCTTGGTCTTGGAGTGCCCCCTGCCCCAACAGGATTAGACAGTCAGTGGTCACTTGCCAACTTCAAGGTGATCATTTTGTTTTTCCTCACTTGTGTGCAGGGAAAAGGGACCATGTCTCTGCTTGACTTGAGTAGATGCTCAATAAATATTTTTGAATGAAGGAAAGTTTTAAATATAGACTGCTCACATCAACCAAGCCAAGCAGTGGCTTCTTTACATGGAAGGGTTTGTGGATATGGCCCAGCCCTGTTTCTCTGTTGCCCACAGAACTGAGGATTTGGGGTTTTCAGGTTTCTTGATGGAACCAGGAGGAGCCCCCTGGCCACAGCTGCCCATCCCCACAGCCCGACGCAGTCCCGCTGGCCCCTTCTCCTCACTCAGCTACCTCCCACAAGCCCGGAGTTAGTCTGAAGCCAGGAGGCTGTGACCCAGAGACAAGAAAGGAGAGTTGTTAAGGGGGTGACAGTGCCCCACGGCGTGGGGTTAATGCTGAGGAAGAAAACAGGTGAACATTAGTGGGAGGAGGAGGAGGCAGCAGGCTGGGAGAGAGGCTGAGGTGGGTGCCAGGTGTAAGGTATGGGATCTCGGACGTCTAGTACTTCCCACGTGTGGGTAGGGTGTGTGACCGTCTGGGGATGTCCTGAGCCTGGTGGTCTGGCTTCTAGTTCTGGGGTGAGGGGAGGAGGCCATGCCCTTCCTCTCTTGGTGATCTGGATCCTTAAGGACTAGGAAGGGCTTGTTTGAGAATCAGACCATGTGAGCCCTGAAAAGATGCTCAGGGAGCCCTGATTATTGTTGGGATGTAGCTAGAGACCCAAAAAGGCACACCAATCTCCTAAGGCTCCCAGCAAGGTCTAAAGCTGAGCTGGGCTCAGAACTGTGCCTGTGGCCCTCTACTGAGGTCCAGGGCTTCAGACTGATTTCCACAAACACAGACCATAAGCTCACCTGGAGACCCAGGCCCAGCCCCTCCAGTTCTGGCACAGAAGCTCTGATTATGGCTTCTGCCACATCAACTCAGCCTGGCCCCACTGGGCTGTGTGGGGAGAGTGGCCGGGACGGGTTCCTCCCACAGCTGCCCCAGAGACCAGGCTTCGGGGTGCCCCCTCCTCCACATTCCCCAGGAGCAGTGAGGTTAGTGAGAAAAGGTGGGGCAGACAGATGACAGGGACAGAGCCAGATCAGCTCACATGGGCATCTCCCCTGCAGCCTGGGGGGAGGGGGTCCACCCGGCCCCCAGGCTGGCCACAGGCTACTCGGCAGACTGGACCTTGAGATGAAGGAGAAAAGGAGACATCATTGCTAGGAGACAGATGTAGGGAGGGAAGGGGCTCCAGAAGGGGTGGCTGGAATGTTCCAGAGCTGATTTCCAAGCCTGGTGCCGCACACCCAGACCCAAGTACAGAGTTCCCCCCCCGCCGCTCCTCTCCATGGGCTTCAGGCCCTCAGCGACGACCCTTCCCTTCTTGAGGCCTTCCTCCCCTCAATGAACCTCCGCCTCTGTCCCCAAGTCCCGCCCGGCAACTCTGGTCCTAGCCTCTCCTCCCTGGGCCCTCTTTTCTTCCGTGAACTCCACCTCCTCTCCTACAGCCTTCTCTCCACTGTCCCTGGTTTAGTCGGTCCCCCTGGAAGTGCCAGAGGTCCCCGGAGGTCCCTCCATACCTGGTAATGCGCCGCGGCTCCATGAAACTGGGCGAGTCCCGGCGCCGCTTGCGGATGGGCGAGTAGCTGCGAGAGCGGCGCCGGGCGCGGGCGGCCTCCGCCTCGGCGTGCCTCGCACGGCCCTCGGGGTCCTTGTCCCTGCGGACCCGCCCGACGTGAGCGAGGCGGACCGGTCGGTCCGCCTAGGACCGAAGCCGCCGCCCGCGCAAGGGCGCCCCGCGCCGCCCCGCGGCATCCTGGGCCCGTGCTTACCGGCCCAGGGTCTTCTTGGGTGATGGCGAACGGCTGGGGCTGCGAGCCCTCTTCTCGGCCGAGCGCGAGCGGGATTTGGAGGGCGAGCGGCTAGAGCTCCACGACCGAGGGTGGGGACCCGGGCTACGCGACGAGCTCTTCCCCTCCGGACCGCCGTGCCTGCCGTGCGCGCCCGGGGACGGGGAGGTGCTGGCCGGCCGGGCGCGCAGGGGCCGCTCCTTGGCCCTGGAGGAGGGGCAGGGCGACAGCGGAAAGCGGGCTGAGCGGAGAGGAGAGGAATAGGGAGGGGCCCGGTGACAAAGAGGGGCTCGCTTAGGGGGATGGTGGGCTCAGTGGAGGGGAGGGTGGTGGGTGGAGCGGGCTCAGCAAGCTGGAGGGAGAAGGACAAGTGAGGGACGGGGGGCGGGGGGCGGTGTTGCGCTGGGCGGGCCGCGCTCAGCGCGGGGAGAGGGGTGGGAGCGCCAGAGCAGCGAGCAGCCCCGCGCGACCCGGGGGCCCCGCTCCCGGGAGCCAGCCGCTCACCGTTTCGCGTGCCCGCCGTGGCCTCGCTCGGAGCCGGGCTCGGGCCCGGGGCCGGGGGCGCCGTCGCTGCCCGAGTCGCTGCTGGAGCGCGCCCTGCTGAGCGAGCGCGACGAGCCCCGGGGCGGCGCAGGCCGGGCGCGCCGGCGGCCCCTGCGGCGGGGCGCGGACGCCGAGGACCGCGAGCGCCGTCGCCGGCGCCGGCGCCGGCGCCGCCGGCGCCGCCTCCGCCTGGCCGCCCCGCCCGCCGCGCGGCCTCCTCTGCCCTGCGACGCGGGCGCCGAGCGGGGGCTCGGACTCTCCTCCCGCGCCGGCGGCGTGGCTGCGCCGGCCTCCGCCTGGTCGCGGGCCCTGGGCGAGGGCGAGCTGGGCTTCTGACGGGGAGAGGGAGAGGCAGAGAGGGCACGGAGGGGGTGGAGAGGGAGACGGGGACGGAGACCGGGCGGGACGGGGCAGAAGAGACGGAGGCAGAAGCAGAGAGGATAGTAGATTGAGGATCCAGAGGGGAGAGAGAGCAAAGAGGCAGGGAAGTTAGAGAAGCAGAGAGAAAACGGAGACGGAGGAAGAGACAGACAGAGAGGACAGACCAAGAGAAGGAGCAAAAAGATTGAGGAGAGCAGAGGGGTGGGGGGGGAGAGAAGGAGAGGGGGCTTTCACCGGGCCCAGACCGGGGGCTGCCAGTCCCGGAGCGCACACACGGTTCCCCGCGCCTGCCCTGCCTCTGCCTCTCCTGAGTGTCCACCTTCTGGCCTCAACAGTGCAGCTCATGCAAGGTTCTCAGCATGCAAAACACAAGAAGGACGGGACGGAGCGGTGGGGTCGGGGGTGGCTGAAAGGGAGGGGCTCCAGGATGGGCACGGGGCCTGGCATTGCCCCCCGACGGGACGGACGATCCCGGCAGAGAGAAGAGAGAGGGCGGGCACCGGGAGGCCGGGCCAGGGCCAGCCCACCAGGCCAGGCCCCCCAGCGCATGGGGGTAGGGGGATGGAGGGGGCACACGGCACACAGATGGGGTGGGGGCTGGGGGGGACGACTGAACTCAAAACTGAACCGAAGAAAGGGAGGAAAAACCAAACAAAACAAAATCCACAAATGTCATTAGATACCAAAATCAAAAACAATGTCTGGACTCCTGGGGAACTGACATTTTTCTGGTTAACATTTTTCTTTGTTTTCCGGCCCTGCAGAGACCTGTGGAGCTGTCAGTAGCACCCGACTGTCTTTCTGTTTCTCTCTTTTTTCTTTTTTTTTTTAAGTTCTGATTTTTTAAGTCCCTCTTGGTTAACGTCCACTTACCAATAAAGTGGCACTTCCTCCTTTAGTAGGTAAGATGTGTAAGAGAAGGGAAAAGTGTGGTAGCGTAAGTTCATCATCAGATTCACAAAATGCAAGAGAGATAGAGAGAGAGAGAAAAAAACGCAACCACCCCATTCTAGGCCAAAAGGAGGCCGCACTGCCTCTGGAGGAAGGATGGGCAGCACCTGGCTCTTTGGGCCTGAGCAGGCACCTCTTGGGTGACCGCTGGATAGAGATGTCAAATGTTTTTCCAAAAGTGGAGGTAGGACATAAGGATGGGGATACAGACAGCCAGAAAGGGCACCTGGTACCATCAGAATGGTCCTGGCTGAGAACCAGGGGTCTGAGAGCCTACCACTACCTCACTGAGTGACCCTGGCCAAGTCACTTCCCCATTCTGGGCCTCAGTTTCCCCATCCTTAAAAGGGTTGGGCTTTGCTTCCTGATATCCCTTCCAGAGCAAATACTCCAGAAGTCTCTGTGAGCAGCCTCATCCCCTGTCCAACCCCCTCTATACACAACAGAACTGCCCCTCCTCTTGCCCTTGGGCTTCTATCTGGTAACAGTTGATTGAAATTGCTAGTTTATAAGTCTGTCCCTCACCTCACTCCCAATCGCCAGCATCAACCTCAGTTTTTATCACAGAACTTGGCATCTAGTAGGGCCTCACAGGCCAGGGCCAAACCAGGGAGACCTTGGAAAGGGGCAGGGTCTGAGCCAAGCTCTTTGGCAGGCCCTTTGGATGGAGAGAATAAAAACAGCTGCCACACCCTGATGCCTGGGAATGGAAAGTGTGGTTGGTTTCTTTGCAAAGGCTCTGGGTGCTTCCTGCAAAGGACAGGGTGGTGCAAAGTTCTCTCTCCAGCCTGGGCATGGAGGCAGAGCCAAGAAGTCAGCACCATGAAGACACAGCCAGCTTGTGATCGGTGGCTGATGCAGCCAATGAACATCAGCTATTTTCGGAGAGGAGCTGTCTGAAGCCAAGTGGGCCATGAAGACCTCCTGGGAGAGCTTGATGTTTTCTTTTGGGGCCCAGGCAGGCATGGTGGGCAGAGTGGGTATGACTGGGTACTGAGGTACCCCTCTGAGCTCCCCAGCTCTCCTGATCGCCAGCTCCCCCTCACCCTGGGCCAGGAGAGATGGAGGCTGGGCTCCTCAGCCATGGCCCCATCTGAGATAACTGTCCATTCTCAGTAGGCTCTGCTGTCACACCCTCTCCAGCCCAGCAGGTAGCCGGTGCCTCATAGCTCCCAAGGCTCCAGCACTAGGTTCTGTCATCCAGCATCCTTTTCCCTCCAGAGGAGGTAAATGAGAAAGAAGTCTCCAGGATCCTCAGATTTCCAGTTTCTTTTCTACCCCCTGGGTTGTCAAAGAGTATAAAGTGAACAGATACTAGGTCTGGGAGTGGGAGCCCAGAGAACCAATGCACAGTAACCCATACCCAGGAAAACACTGGACCCTGCATTTAAGAAGCCTTTGTTACTCTGGTTGGGGGTGGCAGGTGCAGCAGGGCAAGAGGGTATAATACTAAACTTGGGAATCAGGACCTGAATGTGAACCCTGGCTCCAACCCAGACTCCGGATCTGAGCTACCTACCTCTGCCTCCAGGGAAGAGGCCAACAGTGGGGGAAGAAGACCTAGGGTTTGAAGTTCCTTCCTACAGTCACTGGAGTGCCCTCTTTCCTCCCCACTGTCAGGCTGGGAGCAGGGTGGAAGTGTTAGTAACTGAAAGGGTCTGGATTGGGTGGATGTCATGTTGTTACCCCAGTCATAGAGGCCCAAGTCCCTGGACCAGACCCCTGTGCTGATCTGAAAGCTTCCTGCTTGACATATCTTGAAGTCCAAGCTCTTCCCCCACATCCCACTTGCCCACTTCTAGCCAACTGCCATGGCCCAAGGTGATAGTAATTGACAAAGTGGAACACCTTGGAATCAACCCTGGTGTGAGTTTGCTGTGAGAACTAAAGGAAGTGATCTAGCTTGGGGGTCTCAGTTTCTCCATTGGTAAAAATGGGGGCACACAAAAAAATAGCTGTGATCTTTGCTGGGTTGGCTTGTATAGGGGTTGAGGTTGAGAGGTTCTTTTCAGAGTAAAGTTGACTCATGGTCCCCTCACAGATGAACAGAAGCCCTGGAGAGAGTGGCCATGATCCCACCACAGGTGAGCCTCATCCTCAGCTTGGCTGGATCTCATTCTCCCCAGGAACTGAGGGATTTCCAAGTCCAGATATCATGAGATTTCATTAGCTGGACAGGACTTTGGTGGCCAGAGACCTCCAGATATCTCCTTCAGAACTCTGCTCTTGATGATTCTTGTCCCTCTTGCCTGGACCCCCTGTTCCCGCTGTACCCACCTCCCACAGCTTGTTAGTGCCTATTGCCCCTCCACCATCAGCTCAAGGCCTCTGCCTCCAGGAAATCTCTCCTAACCTTCACCCTGAGGCAGGCCACTCCTCCATGATCCCACAGACCCCAATCCTTCCTTCAGTAGGGGCTGCTCCTGGCTGTGTTAGGGTTGGGACTACCGAGCCTAGCAGAGCTCCTCACCCACATTTCAGCTCTCCCCACCTCATTGTTCTGCATGATCTTTGTCAGTTCTCCAGTCTAGCAAGTGGGGGCCTTGAACCTAGGTCTGCCTGCCTCTCCCCTGGTGTGGACACCCAGACAGGACGTGGGACAGAGGAGGCCTCAGCAAATGCCTGCCTTGTGTGTGCGTGAAGGAGTGAATGAGCGTGTGCGTGCATGGGCCTTGCCTGTCTCTGAGCTCTGCTCCCAGGAGCCCCACTGATCCTTGCTACCACCTGCTACCTGGTTTCTTTTCTTATGTAAGGAATTTGGGTTTGGGGGAGAAGACAATGGAAAAGAGTGGCAAGGGACACTGGCTCACAATCCTGATGTTCTTAAGGACAAGAATGAGCGAGTTTCTGGGATGCTCTATCCTTGTTCTGCCAGGGCTCAGACAACTGCCTGTTAACTCAGCATTTGATGATCCTGTTTCTGAGTCCCTGGTCACATCAGGTACTTCTTGAGGGTGGGGCCTTCACTCCTTCCATCAGATTGCGGCAGAGTCTGCCCAGTGGACCAACAGTGCCTCTCCCTCCCTAAACAACTTTCTTGTCTGCCCTCCCAATACGGCTCACAGTTAAGGAATGTTCTAAGTGGGTCAGCTCCCCAGGACCTGCCACTGGGGTCAACCTGGGACAGGTGCAGATGAAGAGCCAGGCCCTTTCTTTTAAAAGCAGAGGATGGAGGCCCACCAAGCCTCACAAGGGTTGGGATGTCAAACTTCAATAGCTGCTCCCAGATAGGGCAGGAAGCAAATTAAAGAGCAGGGATGGGGAGGTAATGTCCCTGAACACCTATTCCCTCACCTGTACCCCCAGTGTGGCTGGAGAAGCACTGGCTGGGGGTGACAAGGTCCAGGACATAGGGCCAGTTCTGCTCCAACACCTCGGGGGACCATGGCCCCTACAGACTGTCCCTTCTGGATCATTTTGCACATTAAACTCAAGTTAGGAAGATGGAGGGGTCCTAGGATACTGAGGGAGCCCCTGTCTGCATGGATAGAGATCCACACAGGGGCAGGAGAGCCAAGGGTCACCTCCATCCCCCAAATCACCCCACAGAGACTTTGCTAAGTAGGCCCTGTAAGACCAGAGTCTGCTCCTGGCAAGCTTCCCATTCCAGTCCCACCAAATCCAACTACCATTGTACCAAAAAGATGAAGCTGTGAGATTCCAGCTGCTGCCCCAGAGTCTAGCTCCCACACTAACACTCCCACTCTGCCACCAGGGCAGGACCTGTGGGAGCCCAGTGGGCCCTGGAGGTGCGACAGGGCTCCTTCCTTGGGCCTGAGCTCCATCAGAACTGCTTCCAGTGTCTGGAGGCCGGGCCCACACAGGGCCTTTCCACCATTGCTTGTGGCAGGGCCACTGGCCCGAGGGGGGACGCAGGAGGGGCTCAGAAGCTACTCCAGACAACAGAAATCAAAGTGGCTGAACTGCAGCATCCAGTTCAGGAAAGGTACACAAACTTGGAATGCTAAACCACACAGAAATGCATTCAGACAACAGAATGAGAGAAAGAGAGTGAGGGGGACTCGGGGAGAGAGGGTGGGGAGGAAGAAGGAGCAGGGCTGGTGGAAAGGAGGGAAGAATGGACCAGAGAAGTTTTCAGGGAAAGTCAAGAAAACCAAATGACAAACCAGGAAACACAGCTCTGTGGCTCATTTGGAGAAAATGCAAGTTACAAATGAGTAGTCACTAAAATAAAGAAAAGGGAGGGGGAGATAACCAACCAGAGCGAGATTGAGAGAAAGAGAGAAAAAGAAAACCACATTCAAACCAAGCAGAGTGGCAGGGCTTATCTGGAGATGGGAGCGAGCGAGCAGCGCACAGCTGAGCCAGGATACCTACCTTCTCAGTGGTCAGGGACGGGAATGCAATAACAAAAAAGAAAAGAAGGTCTCTGCATTGGGAATGCAGAAGAGGGGAAAGACAGTGACGCTAAGCTGCACTCCCCCTCTGAACTGGCACTTGGGCAGCCAGCATGGCTCTGTTTAGTCCCAGGGATGGGAGGGGCATCCTGCCCAGTGGTTTCTGTTTGTTCTTTTTTTTTTTTTAAACCCCACAGGCTCTAGTAGCCAAGCTTTCCTTAACTCTTTAAACAACAGAAAACCTCCAGAGAGCATGCAGGAAGCAGCTGATGGAAGCAAAACCAACCACAGTGGGCTGAGGAAGGGCTGGCAGCGTGGGGAGAGGCCCATGTCAAGGGAGAGATGGAGAGAAAGAGACAGAGAGACACAGGGGGAGAGAGAGACACACACACATACACACACACACACACAGAAAGACAGAAACAAAGGCAGAAAAAAACAGAGAAGCTGGAAGAGAGAAAGGTGGACCCAGACAGAAAGAAGAGAGAAAAGTAAATGAAGCTAGAGGGGACAGATGGGGTGAAAAGGGGTCTGTGCCTTTAAAAGGGAAGGTGACCACAGGTTCAATTTCAAGGTGCCTCAGGCCTCAAGTTAACTCAATCCCTTTCCCTGGCTTTAGCATCACTTTAGCAAAATTCATCCCTCCTGCCTTCTGGGTTCTTCCTGGAAGAAATGTCAAAATGTCCCTCCGGTTCTGACCTCCCCACTCCAGGCAAGGCTACCGCTCTTTCCTGGGGATGGGGCTGGGGGGAGGCCTGGATGAGAAGTGCCATGGGTACCTCTTTTTGGAGGTCATCCCAGACTGTCCACTTCGTGATGAAATTTAAGCCTGGAGGCCTTGCTCACGAACCTTCTCTGCCACCCTCACCAGATGGTGAGGCTTCCCTGGAAACTTCCAGTGCTACGGACAGGTGCAGCTAAGGCAGGGGCCCTACTTCTAAGGCTACAAACCTTGCATACCCTTTCTGGCCAGGATGCTAGTCCTTGAGCTCAACATTTTAATCTTCTCTCTGTGTATCACTATTTCTTGCCCACATGTGTGTGAACTTCGAGGGATCAGGGCGCCTGAGTGGCTGAAGCAGTGTTCACAAGAGTCAGGCTTGTGTAACGCCAGCCCACCATTGCCTCATCTCTTCATGGGCAGGCCCCGGAGCCAGGAGCATGTTATCCATACCTGGAGGGCCCGCAGGGGGAAGGCTGGAGCTGAGATAACCAGCATCTACCTCCCAAATCCTCCTCCTCCTGCTCAGGGCTCCTGGAGTATGTTTTCCATTCATCACCCTTTCCATCTCTTGGGGTCTTGAGGCTAGAGGCCTGGGGTCTCCTTTTGAATCTATTTCTAAAAGGCTGTATGACCTTGAACTGTCACTTGAGTCCTCTGAACTGCAGAGAGCAGTAAGCAGCAGGACCCAGAAATCACTTTGGAGGCCTGTCCTGGCCTGGGATGGGGCAACAAAAAGAAATGTTGGGGGCCAGCACCTTGCTGGTCTCAGTTTTGAGGCTGGGAAAGACTTTTTCTCTTGCCTGGGAGAGTGACTTTGAGGCCCTCACCTGAACAAAACTCTCTCAGGTGTCTTCAGGTCCCTCCTGAGGGGCCTCCTAATGATATGAGTCATGGCAGGGAAGGCAGGCGCTGAGCAGCCTGTCCCCATCATGTCCCCAGCCATCTTATACTAGATGACACTGGGGAGACATAGGGTACTTACTCCTCTAGGAAATGTCTCTCTTTCTCCCTGGATCTCCTAGTTTCTGTCTCAGGTTCCTACTTTCGTTAATTTAAAAGCTGAGGCAGTTCCAGGGTTAAGCCCCAGGGTTAAGAGGGCTGGCTGCTGCCGCAGATTTGGTAAATGCTGTTGGCGTGGGAGTCATTTTTTTTAAAGAGTTCTCTTCCCTTTTAAATTCTGGTTACAAAGGAACAAAAGTATATAAAGATATGTATATGATTAATGTTCACTTGAGATTTAAAGACCATCTCTGCATTAGGAGGAGAGGCTCCCACAATAAAACACAGGAAAGCAAACTCTAGAACAACAGAGAAGAGAAAAAACCCCAGAGAGATAGTTTGCATTTCTGTACATTACAAAGGAAAAAACAAAAGAAGGAAATACAAACACAAAACAAAATAACAGGAAAAGTTACATAAACTTCCCCACCCTCTCCCCTCGCCAACTAGAAAAATGGAATCACAATATTACCACGTTTCAAATGGGAGGCTAAAAAAACAAACAAAAACATAGACGGGGTTAAAAATGGTGAGCTTTTCTTTTTACCAGTTTTTATCGCTCTCTTTTTTTAAAGGTAGTGTCCAAGAACACCCCTCCACCCCTCCAGTATTTCCCACTCCCCAAGACATTTCTGGCAAATGGCAAAGTCCATGACCCCTGCTCCATCTCACCTCCTTGGAGGTGAGCCAGAACTAGCCTCACTGCCCTCCCTCAGAAATGCTGTGCAAGCAAGGAGGGACCAGGCTCACGGAAGAGGCCTGGGATGTTCTGAAGTCCCAGATCGCGCAGGGCCTGAGCAGTAGGGAGAAGTCTGAGGAGCACGCTTTGTGAAAGGAGTAACACAGAGCCATCTTCTGGAAAACTCCCAGGACTATGCCACAGTGGAGTCCCATTTGGGAATGAGGTCAAGAACTGGGTGTTGCCCAGGCTGGAGGCTAGGCTGCCTTCCCTGACTGCTCTCTCTCCCGGGGTCTACATTGTGTCTGCACATACCCAGGGTCCTTGGGGGGCTATTGCTCAGGCCTCCAGAGCTAGGGAGGAGACCAAAAGTGGGAAGGTGCTTCCTTTCAGCCCTGGCTAAGAGAATCTGCATTCTGTGCCCTTACAGGAGGATGTGAAGGTGTTTGGGGCACTGTGCTGTTCCAGCTCTGAGCCCCTGGGGGTGGGGGACGGGTTCACCATCATCTCCCAGTCCTGCCATACCAGTCCCCCAGCTACCCCTGTGTGTCCTCCCCCACCTCCAAGACAGGTGTCCAGGGACATTGGTGTGATCATCCCCATGTGGTCCAATTAGGCCCCTCTGAGCTCAGGACCCTGGCACCTTGTCCATGTGGGACAGTCTCAAGACAGGTAATGTCCTTAAACAAAAATTAACCTTGAGACCAAGAAAGAGCCTTTTGTCAGCTGCCCTTGGCTTTCCTCTCTGAGGCTGTGGGAGTAAGGGTGTTTGAGCAAAGAAAGGAAGTGAAAGAAAACAGCCAAAAATCAAAACGAAACTGACCAACACGTACATGTTTGCTGCTGAGACCTGAGGTCCGGGGAGGGGCAGCCCCACTCTCCCTGCTGAGGCTTCTGGGGTAGCCTTCAGGTGTCCGGGGAACCTGCAGGCCTGCCGACCCCAAGACCCCTGTGTCCACCCAATAACCATATCAGTACTGCAGCCCTCCAGGTGGGAGCTCTCCCCCAAAAGGCAAAAGAGGATCAATAGGCAAAAGTGGATGCAAGACTCTCTGGGGCCTGGGAGAACCCCGACCCTGGCCCAGCCCACCCACCTGGGAGGGGCTAGAAGCCTGCCTCCTCCCTCCACAGCTCCTACCATCACCATGCCTCTCCATAGGTCTTAAGGAGTCCATGCCCCTCTTGGGGGATGGGTGGGAACAGTTTTTGGGTGGCGCTGGTGTGGACTCTGTGAGGGAGTGATACCCTGGGTGATGCCTTAGGAAGGATGGGACATGACAGTGGAACCTGCAGGTTTGAGACATCTGTTCAAGTGTGGGCAGTGCAGGGGAAGGGACAGACTCCTTGGAGCAGGGACTGAGATAGGGTTTGGAGATCTGAGAGAAGGGGAGGGGCTAGTGAGGGGGTGGAGGGAGGAAGAGCGAGCCTCAGAGAGTGGGAAAGGGCTTGGGTGGGGAGAGGGAGCTTCAGGGCCCAAGTGATGTGGACAGGAGGCCCTTCTCTTGCATCCTGTTCTTGACTGCGACCCCTATGGATATCCATGCCCCTCCCACCCCAATATACCTGCGGGGAGGGACGCAGGAGACCCTGGTTCCTCCCCAGGGCTTGTACCCAACTGGAGTGCCCCGTTGGTCAAGTTTCCTCTGGCCTGCATTTCGCCAAGTTCAAGGGTAGCCTAAGCCTGCAGGCCCCTCGCACCCAGACCCTGGGGCCTAGTGGACCAACAACCAAGCAGTCCTGGCCACTCCCATTCGGGGAGGGAGCATGGAGAGGGGAAGCGGCGCCTCCCTTCCGGGGTGTACACTCACCGCTTCCTACCCTGCGGCGACCCCCGACCTAGCCCGGCGGCGCAGCCCGGCGGCGCGGGAACCCTACGCAAAGCTAAGCGTACGTACATCGGGCGGGCTGTGTGCCGAGTCGGGGCGGCCCCCGTGCGCTCCACTCCGCTGCCTGCTACCGCCGTTCTGCTGGGGCGACCCCCATCCACTGCCCCCGGAAGGGGAAGGCGACCGGCTCCCGCTGGACCGCTGGCTGCCCGTCTTCCACGCGTCATCCCTGTGCTTGGGGCTCAGCCTGGGGAGAGGGGACATGGGGAGCCGGCGTGGGACGCACCCTCTGCAATTGGCCGCTGCCCTGGAGGAAGAGTAGGCTCCCACCCGCCCTCTCACTGGGCCGGGAAACCCTTCCGTTCAGACAGCAAGGCCCCAGCCCTGACACTGCCTTTCTTGATTTCCAATTCAGGGTATGGGGAGCCTTGGAGCAGGGATCACAGTCCCTCCTTGCCTACTAACAGGTGGACATCAGCACACCCCTGGTAACTTCTCCCCACTGACTATTGTTCTGCCCACCAGACCCTCCTCAGTCCTTGGAGGTATTTAATCAGCAACTCCCCTCCCCCAGCAGAAAGCCGAACTGAACCACAGCTGGATCTCCCAGAGGACCGGGACCTACCTGCTGGGTGATCTGGAATCACTGTAGTGGGAGGAGAGGGAGGGGCTCCGGGAGCTGCCGCTGCTGTGGCGATGGGACCTCCGGCTTGGGGACTCAGCGTGTGGCCTGGGAGAGAAATCAGCCTGAACCTAAATTCTGCCTGACCTCCCTATATTGAGGGTCTGCTGGAAGCTACTGCCATCCCCACCCCATAGTCTCCTATAAAAATGCCCAGCTAGTCCACGTAGGGCCTTAGCAAAGGGAGCCCTTTTCTCTAGACAGCCCCAAACCCCCAGTACTTCACTCATCCCTCAGCTGGTGCTTTTGTGACTTGGGGGTGGGGGCTGAGGTTGGGGAGGTGCACAAGGACTGAGCTTGAGAGGACCATGGACTGGGAGGCAAGAGGTTTAGGCTCCAGTCCCAGCTTGGCCACTGACTCTTGGACATCAGCACACCCCTGGTAACTTCTCCCCACTGACTACTGTTCTGCCCACCAGACCCTCCCCAGCCCTTGGAGGTATTTAATCAGCAACTCCCCTCCCCCAGCAGAAAGCCCAACTGAACCACAGCTGGATCTCCCAGAGGACTGGGACCTTTCTGGTCTGAATTTTTCCATCTGGGCAGTGGGGACAAATTGAGCTATCCAAGGGCCTGATTCTGTGATTCTAGAAGGCCAGGTTTGCTCTGGGGGGGAAGGGGAAAAGGCTGGAGAGCAGAGAAGGGTGCTCACCTCTTCCTCTCTTTGTTCTTCTCTTTTCTTTTGCTCTTGGGGCTTCGAGATCTGCAAAAATCAGAATGTGGTGACAGCATAGCCTGAGCTGGGCAGGGGGAGGGCAGGGCCTCTAAGCCCTGGAGCCAGGTTGTGCTGGTATGGATCTGAGATTCTTTCTTCTCTGGGACCTGAGTTTCCCAGGCTTGCCCACGGATTTGCCCAGCCAACCCCACTGCCTTGGCCCCTTTTGCTAGGCCAGACATGGCTCCTTCCTCCTCCTGTAAGTCTGGCCACGATTACAGCCTGCCTGGGCCCCCAGCTGCTGCTCCCTTACGGGTGTCATAGGTGATGTGACCATGGCCCCAGAAGACAGGATGACTTGTTCTTTCCTTCTGGCATCAGTCTCAGGACAGGCCCCTCTGATGAGCCACTGTGGTGGGGTTGGCCTTCCACACCTTATGTGTGTCCTAGGTCTCAAATGAGGCTCTCTAGGGCAGAGCCCAGGCCTCCTGCCTCCCTGTCCACTCAGATTGTGGCCCAGCTCTGGGTCAGCTCACCAGGGGTTTAGGGAAGAACTGATTTCCCTTGGACATGATCTCCCTGGTTTGGGGTCCTCTGGTTCTTACTGATGGCTTCCCCAAAGCTTCCCATCCCATCCCATCCAGCTTTCTGAGGAGGACCCCACAGAGCTCCTTCTGTCTTTGACAAAAGGATTGAGAAGCTTCTGGCTAGATCTCTAAGGTCTCATCCCACCCCTGGTCCCTGTAGGCCTCTCAGCCCCACCCTTCCTGACACCACCAGATTCCTGCTTCATCCTTCCAGTCCTGAACAGATGTCTCCTTTCAACCAAATATGGGGCGATGCTAAGAAACACTACAATGTTTCTTACAGGAGCAGAGTGATTAGGGGACGGGCCTGGGAGGCCAAAGGCTTGAGTTCTAGAACCAATGTTACCTGCTTTGGGCCTCAGTTTCCCCATATGGAGCTGGCTTGGCCCTGGCTCACCTCTAGGTCCTTCCCAGGACTGATGGAAGCTGGTCAGAGGGTCTTGCAGGCTGATGGTGACCATTGGGGGAAAGTAGGGGCTCACACTGGCCCAGAAGAAGCAAGGGGAGCCGGTGGGAGGGAGGAATGTGGTGGTGGGGAAATTGGGGCAATTGGTGGGTCAGGATTAGGTGTTTGTTTAGGTTCCTCTCACATCTGCCAAGTGGTCATGGGCAAATTCCCATTGCAGGAACTGGCCTGGGGACTCTGCCCCTCCTCAGGGCTGCTGGGAGGGGCTCTGACACTAATGCCAATGAGTGGATGTGACTGCCTGGTATCTTCCTTCCCTCCATATTGAGTTTTTAACTTTCCCCACTGCCTGGGTCTCTGCCTTTCACCTCCTCCTCTCCCCTTCCCCCAGTCCATCTGGAGCAAGTGGCTGTCCTGCTCAGAGCTCCATGCTGGCTCCCAGCCTTGCCTGGGTAGAGGCCAGCTCCATAGCCCGGCAGTCAGGCCTACTGGGGGCTGGCACCTGCTACCAGACACTCTATCTAGCCATAGTTCACCCGACCCACTGAGCCTTCCTTCTGGAAAGAACTCAAACTCTCTGGCATGCCCTTTCCCTTCAAATTCAGGGTCTCCATGCTTCTACCTTCCTAACTGACACCTCTATGGACACACCCCTTGAGCACTGGACCTGCTGTGTTGCCTGAAAATTCCTGGGGCCCCCAAGTCAAGGCTGAGACATGAGGTAGATAAGCATTGGCCTTCATCCTCCACCTCCACCTTCCATCACCTGCCTGGCTCTGGTAAGGAGACACTGCAGTGGGCAGAGCAGAGCAGGGCAAGGCCCTCACAACCCCCCCTTCCCATCACTGCTTTCTGGGGGTCTTGCTCCCTGCAGGGGCTTACTAGCCTTGGTCCACATCCTCCTGTCCCACCTCTGCAGGGCATGCTCACCTGTGCCGTCTCTTCCTCCGGGACCCAGAATCAGACCTGTAGGGCCACAAAATGGTTCTCTTGAACTTCCCTGGGGTGGCCTGGGGACACAGTCTGCACAGCCTGGGTCCTGGACCCCAAGGAAATGAGAGGAGGTCCTGGGGAGGGCGTACCTTTCTCTGCGGTGCTTCTTCACACTCTTCTTCTTCTTGCGCAGGGGTGAGGAGCTCCCACAGCTGTGGACACAGGGGGTGGGCTCCGGTTAACTGGTGCCTGGGACTGGGAGAGGCAGCTGGCACTTCTGGGGAAGCCTGGGTGCGTGGGGCCCTACAGCTGGGAGACTCCAGGCCCTGAAGCCAACTGCCTATTGTACAGTGAATGGAGGCCTCAAGGGCTGGCAAGGTCCCTGAGGGTAGCTGTTGCAGCCTGTGTTGTCCCCGGCCGCCCTGTCAGCATCCTTGACAAGGGCAAAGGTTAGAGGCTCCAATGGTGGGATTTCTGGCTTCTGGGGAAAAGCTGGCACCATGGCAGCGTCCAGGGTACAGGCCCTGAGGTGGCAGGCCTCCTGCCTCTGGGAGATGGCCTTGGTGTCTTGCCCACCCACAGGCATCCCCACTTCCCTGCCTGCCCAGCCCCTGCCCACCTTCATCACTGACCTGCTCTCAGAGTCCAGTCTCCTCTTTTTGCTGAGGGCCAGGGAGAAAGAAGAATGGACGGACAATTGGATGGGGTTGGCTGGGACCCCAGGCACTGCCAGGGTCTCACTCAGGACAGCAGAGGAGGGACATAGAGATGGGGACCCACGGAAGAGACCCAGCCAAACCACTCCTCCCAGCCACTTCCAATTGTGATGGTGGTTGCAGGACCCCTGGGAGGGAGGAGGGGGCCTGCCAGCCAGTGGGTGGTGACCTGGAGGTGGGTCAGTGTGTCCAGTTCTGGGGAAGGAGAAGGGCCATGGGGGAGGGCTCACTGAGGTGGAGGGGTCAGTTAGGGGGAGGGCACTTCGAGCAGGGACAGCACAGTGAGGGGCAGGGGTACAGTAGGGGTGCGGGGGCTCAATGCCGGGCAGGCTCACAAGTGCAGCGCGGGATCCCCTGCGGGCAGAGGGGTGGGCACCTGGGCCCCCCCTCCCCCACCGCTCCCACCGGACAGGGCGGCCGCTCTCACCGGCTTCTCCGGTGGCCGCTTTTCTTCTTCTTCTTCTTCTTGGGGGGCGGCGACGCCGAGCTGCTGGACCAGCGCTTGGTTCTGGGTGAGGGGGCGGCGGAGGTGAGGGGATTGCCCGGGCCCAGCTAACCACCCCGCACGCTCCACCGCGGCGGGCGCTGACCTGTAGCCGCGGTGCCCGCGGTAGCAGGCGGCCGGGCAGTCGCAGTCCACAGGGCCGTCGTCCTCGTCCAAGGGCGCGTACTCTAGGCCTGGCTCGGCGCCCTCGTCCAGCCGCGGCGTCTCCGCCACGCTGCCGGCGACAGGGATGCTCAGCAGCCGCCCCGCGGCCGCGCCCTCCAGCTGTGCCTTCCGGTCCCCCGCGGCGGCTCGGGGAGGGGGCGGGGGGTCTGCGGCCCCGACCCCCGGAGTGTGGGACGGGGGTCTGGATTACCGCGCGGGCAGCCTCCCTTGCAGGTGCCCAGCGCGACAGTGCCGTAGTTTTTAAAAAAGGAAGAAGAGCGCGGGCCCTGAGGCCTCACTTAGCCCGCACCCCGCTAGGTTCTCACTCTCTCGGGGAGCCCCCCTACTCTAGCGGGCCCCTCCCCTCGCTGGTTCCCTCCCAGCACTGATCCTTTGTCCCTCGGCCCCATTCGTTGCGCCTACTCCCCCTCACCGAGCCCCCTTTCCTTCACGGAGCCCCTTGCACCGATCCCTGCCCCCTTAAGCCCCCTGTCGTAGTCCCCAGCCCCTTCTCTCTGAGCCCACGCTCCCTCCCCAGCCCCCTCTCGGGCCCGGCCCCCTGTCTTATCCCCCTCTGATATCTGCCTTTCCCCCACCCGGCTGTCCTTGGCCTGCAGCCCCCTCCCCCTCGCGGAGCCTCCGCCCGCAGCGGCCCCCCTCCTCCAGCCCGGCTGCTGCTGAAATATTCATAGCCTCTCCTCGCCCTCCGCTCTGCAGCCTCCGGAGGCCTCCCGCTCGTCTCCCGCTGCCGCGCTGTCATCAATCACTGCCCAGTGGCAGCCTCGCGGCCGCGGTCGACCACCGCGCCGCTGAGGATGCCCCCATTCGTCTTGCAGAGCCCTCCCCTCCACCCAGCCGGGACCTGTCCCTGCTCTCTACCGGGCTCTGGAGCCCCCAGCCTGTCTTCTGCCACAACTATGCGCCCTCTGGGGCAACTTGGCAGAGAAATGCTTTTTTCCTAAAGGGAGCTGGGCTTAAGGCAAGAGCATGAGCTTTGACGCTGTAAGACGTGTCCTCATCTTGCACCCTCCCTGAGTCACTGTGTGACCTGGTGCTGGTCACGCCCCCCACTCCCCACCCCCCCACCCAGCCTCTTCTCCAAGATGAGAACAGTAACTGTTTTAGACCCACTGGGAGAATTCGCTGAGGTAACGAGTGCTGCACAACAACTTTCTTTACTGAACAAGCCTGGACCTGACCATCCAAAGGCCTAGCGCCAGGGTAATGGCTCCAGGGTGTTCATTTTTCATCCTATGCTAGCTCAGATAGTGCCCCTCCCAGGCAGAGGCTCGGTTCTGGTTTTGGAGGAACTGCCCTTATTCCTGGGTTGTGTTCACCAGGCTTGTTTCGTCCCTGACCACAGCAAAGGAGGCCAGCGCTCGGATGGCAGAGCATTCAGGACATGACATAAGCTTTGGATTCACACAGACGGGCCTCGATCCAGGCATGGCCAGGCTCACTGAGTCTCACGGTCCTTATCTATACAAGAAGGACAATATCCCTGCTCTGAGGAGAGGATTAAGTACGATTCTGTCTATGAAGCTTCTGACTCAAGCGCAGCCTGTGTGTGTTGTCCCCACAGAGGGACTTTGCCAGACACTCACTCCAGCCTTCCTCTCTTCCAGGGAGAAAAGTGGTGGTGACACATGAAACAGAGACAAAGCAAGGAGGATGGGCCACAGCTACAAGGGGAAGGAATGCTCAGGGACACCTCAGTAGCAAAGCACCCACTTCATCAACTCTGGAGACTGATCTGGTTCTGTTTCGTTTTCAGCAAAAGAATGTAACCTAAATCTAACAGGGTTAGCTTGTTTATTTCAAGAATGCCAGTCAATTCCCAAACATCAGCCTGACCCTGGCAGCCTTGAAGCCACACAGGTAGTAGAGGAGGTTTTTCGGGGTGATGGAGGAGGGGATCATGTCATTCCCTGTGCCCCCACAGAGCCAAAAGCCCCCTCATCCTACATTCAAACCTCTGTTCTCTCCTCCATGCCCCTCTTCCAGAAGCCAGCGGCCTCCCACTTCCTATCCCTGAAATCTCCAACTCCTCAGCCTGTCCAGCCCCTCACCTCCCAGAGTCGGTCACTCCCATGCAGTCCTCAGCCACACAAATGCCTGACATGTAAAACACAATCTTTAGCAAAACTTAAGGGCATCTCAAATATCGTGTGGGTAAACTGGTGGGAAGAGGGAGCTTCTGTTCATCCTGACACAGAAATGGTGAAGGTTATTATTTACAAAATAAAACAGCTAGGTTTGGGCACTGGCTTCCTAACATCAGAGCTGGGTGTGTGGAGTCCAGGCACTTACTGAACTCCTCTTTCCCCTCCTTATTCTGTTGGCTGCACCCCTGGGGACTCTTTCTTTTCTTCCTCTGTTCCAGGGAAAGAGCTACTCCATCTTCCCTCTCTGGGGCCTCTCTCACTCTCCAGCCCCTTCTGGGACATTTACTTGGGATCTTAGTCTGCTGGGAGCATTGAAAGGCACAGGGTGTGAGTTGCAGGCTCAGGGAGAGATGCATGATTTCAGAACCTTCTGGTAAGATTGCTCTGGGAATTCCAGAGGTATAATGGGCCTCAGCTGAGGCCTCTTTTGCTGGCTTTGTGCAGTTCATACCACTGTATCTGCTTTGAGCATCTCCCAGGGCTAGAACCCTCTCCTGCCTTTTGGGGATGATAATATCACCATCATAATGCTCTCTAATGTTTAGATAGCTCTCCACAGTTGACAAATCCCATCCAGAGGCACTTCTTCCTTTAGAGAAATTCCACTCTCCCATTTTACAGATGGGAAAACTGAGTTCTAGAAAAGGAAAGGAACATTCCCTGTGGTTTTAAGAACTGTGAATATTCACCTGTGCGGCTGGTTTTGAGAATTCATGTATAAACAGGGCAGCCCATGAATTTGCTGGCTGGGCTTCCCTGCTGTAGATGTTAGCTTAGCCTTCTTCTCGTTATTATTTTTTAATAATTTTTATTAAGGTATTACTGATATACATTCTTATGAAGGTTTCACATGAAAAAACAATGTGGTTACTACATTTACCCATATTATCAAGTCCCCACCCATACCCCAATCTAGTCACTGTCTGTCAGTACAGCAAGATGCCACAGATCCACTATTTGCCTTCTTTGTGCTACACTGTTCTCCCCATGATCCCCGACACCGTGTGTACTAAACATAATACCCCTCAATTCCCTTCTCCCTCCTTCCCCCACCCTCCCACACCCCTCCCCTTTGGTAACCACTAGTTCCTTCTTGGACTCTCTGAATCTGCTGCTATTTTGTTCCTTCAGTTTTGCTTCGTTGTTATACTTCACAAATGTCCTCTCCTTATTTTATAGATACAGTTGTAGGTATGTGCAGTGAGTTCTAGATTTGTTTAACATTTCAAGCTCTTAAGTTCATGTTTGTTCATGTTGCTCCCCTCAACAGAAATCAAGCCCCACAGAGCTGATCAAAGTAGCCCCAGAGTCCACTGCAGAGGGACCAAGAACCTACTGATGTGTGGGACTGGCTGCCAAGGGCAGGGCTCCGATCAGGGAAAAGACTGACGGTCACATGCTCTTCCTCATGCCAGCAGTTTCACTAATTAACTGGTTCTGTTTCCCATTAGCCAGGAGCATAATGGCCAATTGACAGATGAATGAGTCCAGACAGAGGATGGGAGGATTCCAGGCAAAGGGTCTGCCCTCTCTGCTCATTCATTCAGCCAGCATGCCAGGCCTGCCAGGGGCTTGGGGGAAGGGTAGTTGTGGCAGGGGCAGGGATGAGTCAGGCTGGGGCCTCTCCTTTAGCTCCTCACAGTGCAGGGCAAAAATATGACATAAAGCATATTATAATAATTGCTAATGCAGGTACCAGGTATTATTCTAGGCACTTTACATGCATTTATCTCATTTAATCATTTGATAGAACAAGTCTGATGTGGGTACCAACATTAATATTTCCATCTAGATAAAACCATGAGACACACAGAGGTCACACTTCATATAAAATTAGATACATAGAAAACACTGGAATTTGCTTACAGTGTTAGGAAATAGCTTACAAACATTGTTTTCCATAAACCTTATCTCCTAAACATTTTGTTATAGTCCACAACTATGAAAACTATTATTCATAAGAGTTGTCTATTAGAGTGGGGAAAAAAGAACTGATAGGCACCATGAGAAGTAAAGAAAATATTGCATGGATTCCAAAGTGGAGAAGATTTTAATTTTTATCTTGGGAATATTGGTGAAATGGTTTTTAGAGGCAGCCTTGAAGGATGGGGTATATTTGAACCTGTGCAGAAGTGGCTAGGCTGTTTTAGGCTGAGGTCCCAGTATGAGCAAAGGTGTGGAAATGAGAACATGCAGGACGTAGCTGGGAACTGCCAGCAGGTGGGGCTGGCTGCTGGGTGTTTCTGGAAATGGGAAACTAGGCTGGGTCTAGAAGGTGGAGAGCCTTGAATGCCAAGATAAGGAGTCTAGGCTTCATTGCATGGATGGTGGGGAACCCCAGAATAAGACCCCCACATTAGTCAGTATCCAAGACAAAAGTGTGTCTCTGGGACCTCACTCATGTTCTCCATCACCTCTCTCTCAGGTTACAGTGCCAGCTGCTCCACTGTCACCCTGCAGACTCACTCATCTGATTCATCTTCCAAATGGTAAGTCCCAGACACCTGCCTGGCCACATCACACCTCTCAAAAAACCTTCAACTGACTCCTACCATCTATGGTATCATGTCCAGATACTACAGCAGTATGATGTTCTGGCATCCAGTGTGGAGGGTAGACTGGAGGGGGGACTGTCACAAGAGACCATCACTCAAGCCAGTTGACTGACTTAAGTAGGAAGGATGATCCTTGGGGACAAAAATCTCTGAGAGTAACCCTGCCCCTTTTGAGATGCTTCTTGAGTGGGAGGTGTCATGGCCTTTTACAGCCCATGAGGGTTAAAATCAGACATTCCCCACCCCTTCTCCCAGTATGGAGACCCTTCAGCTGGCTCTGGCTTTGCCATCTCACTCTAAGAGGGCATTGAATTTCTTCGTGTCCTAAAATGCCACTCTATGGGGGGTGGTGTAGGGTATCAGGGTTAGGAAGCCAGAGGCATGAGCACAGGGGCTTCTGGTGGTCAGAGGGCTTCATAGACTCCCAAGAGAATCCCACAGTTTGCAGAGAGAGTGGAGACAGCCAGGCCGAGGAGAACCAGTTAAGGTCAGTATAGTGCTCACCATTTCCAGGTGAATGACTGTGAGGAAGGTGGTTGCTGTGGACGGAATGTCTGTGTTCCCCTGACAAATCCATATGTTGAAACTCTAATCCCAATGTGATACTGTTTGGAGGTGGGGTCTTTGGGAGGTAATTAGGCCATAAGATGGACCTCATGAATGGGACCAGTGCCCTTATAAGAGGCCAGCGAGCCAGCTAGTTTTCTTTCTGTCATGTGGGGCTAACAAGAAGGTAGAAATCAGTAACGCAGAAGGGGCCTTTCACGAGAACCTGACCAGCTCATGCTGGCATCATGATCTCGGACTTCCAGTCTCCAGAACTGTGAGAAATAAATTTCTGTCACTGATCCGCCACCCACTATGGCCCTTTGTTGTAGCAGCCGGGGCTGGCTGAACTGGTGATGGCGATCATCCTGCAGAGGTGCATGTCCGCAGTGTGCCAGCAGCTATCCCTCATGCTGACATATACTGTCGCATTTAATTTCTCAACGATCCTATGAGGTAGGTACTAATATCTCCATTTTATAAACAAAGAAGTGAAGTGCCCAGAGAAGTCAGAGAGCTGCCCAAGTCACACAGCTGGGGTGTGATGGAGCAGGGACCCAGAGCCCAGAGGTTAGCACTGAACTTAGAGGTTTGGACAGGGGTGTGTGACATGAGTCTGCATTCTCCCTCCAGTGTACCCCCATCTCTGAGCTAAAAAGTGAAGACCCAGCCAGATGCTGGGTCCATAGGAAAGCATATGACCCATCTGTCACCAGCCCTCTGTCACCTCTGCCTCAGACTTTGGGTTCAGCACCAGAAATAGCTCCTCCAAGCCCAGGAGTGACCCAGGCTGCAATCAGCTTCCTTGGCTTGTTGCAGTCACTGTTTGAAAAGCTAGAAGCCTGGGGGAAACTGAGGCTTTGGGGAAAACTAAGCAAGCCACACTGTTCCAGGCACTGAGGATATAGCAGTAAACAAAACAGAGATCTTGTCTTCAATGTCTTCTAACATTCTAAGGGGATCCCAGCACCCTGCCAGGTCTGTATTCTCCTCTGCCTCCAGAGCAGGAGTCTCCTGACCATTGAGTCTTCCAGACATTGCCTCTTCACAGGAGCGCTTCCTGGCTGGCCGCCCTAGCCTGTCTCTTCCTCTATTGAGCACTCACAGGGCCTGATGGCTAAACAGTTCAAGTGGCCACAGTTTCCTGGTTTTAGGTTTCAGGTTTGTGTTTACACCCAGAGAGCAGGGGACCAGTCTTCCCTCCGCCACCTCCTTTCATAGAAGTAGAAGAGTGTTAGGCATGTAGCCCAGACTTTCAAGAACATTTCTTCTGATGATGGAGATACTGCAACCTTACCATGGCATATTTCCTATGTGTCCTGGTTCTTAAATATATCATTCATTCATTCAAGGAAAAATAAGATAAAGACTACAGGAAAAGACTTGCGGGTCATCCACTAACAGATGAGAGTTCCAGCTGGGAAACAGAGGAGATCCCCCAGGGAAGTGGAGACAAGGAATGCCACACACTCAACAGAAATCTGATTGAGAAAGGAGGGAGAAATGTGGGATGGTAGCCAAAGAAAGCAGAGTTGAGGAAGGACAGGAATCAGATTAAGAGGAAGGAGCCTGGGGTAGGAGGAATGGCAAGACTGAGCTGGAAGGGCCCAGAGAAGGCGGCAGGTAGATCCCAGAGGAGGCCTCCTGCTCTCCCATGGGCTGGAAGAGGAAAGGGTGGGTGCTTTTCTAGAGGAGCCCTGGGCAGTTTGAGGGGGTGCAGGTCAGAAAGCCAGGACCTCTTGGATTTGGAGGTGGTGCAAATGGCAGTGGGAGGATCTGGGTGTCAGGAGGTTTGAGAAAGATAAAGGGGCTGGCTCTGCTTTGAGGAACCCCATCACGGGGGGGTGTGTGTACAGGAGTTGCTGGGGGGCGTGCTGTGAACTCCAGGAGGCTGGAGAGAAGGAGGTGGCTCGGTCACCTCTTTCTACCAGAGGGAAGAGAGCAGGCCCGCTGAGCCTGTCTCCCCCAGATCACCCATGAGCCCCCCGAAAGCCTGGGGCTGCCCTGATTCAGCTTTTTCTCCTACCTGAGCCAGAGAGGTGAGGTTTAGGTGGGGAAAGGTGGGAATCCCCACCTCTGGAGCCCCCAGCAGCTAGCAGGTCTGCAGAAAGGGCCTGCCCCTGCCCAGAAAGGTCTGCCTACTTCTGTTCACCTTCAAGACAACTGGCAACAGAGAACTCTCTCACCAGGCACTGCTATCATTTTATTTCTGTCTGAGTAAAGGTGACGGATTTAAGGCCTCAGCAAGATGCCAGCTCCCCAAACTAGTCCTATTCTGGAGGAAATGACCAAAGCATTTGCCCTAGATTTCCGCCCAGACTCAGAGAAGCCCCAGATGCCAGAGCTGGGCAGGGACAGTGAGGCTTGTCAGGGGAAGTGCCACCGGAGTGGATTCAATGGCTCTTCCTCAGTGCACACTACCTTCCGGGCGTGGAGGGCAGTCAGCCAGCCAGCCACGCCTGGATACTTGCAGGGATAGGCTGCCCTGCCTTCCTCCAGCAGCCAGCTCCATTTCTGTATGGTTTTGAGTGGTTTCCAGTCCTTCTCTCATCTGAGACAAAGTCTCCTTCCCTATAAGTTCCCTGTTTGATTCAAAGCCTGCCTGGGGCCTATAGCACACTGGTGCTCCTCCTGTCCTGTGTCAGGTGCAGAGAGGTAGCCCCACAGAGCCTACATTGCCTTTACCTGGAGAGCCCTTGGCCACACCAGCGGTGGCACTTGGTGTGTTGGTTGTTTACTCTGGAGCCCATTTTACAGGTGGCAATAGTTGGGACAGAGGGACTAGCCTGGGGTCAGCCAGTGACAACGCTGGGGTCAGAACATTTATGGTTTCCTGATTTGCAGCCCAGGATTCCTTGAGCTGAGACTTGGGCTGCCTCCCTGACTGCTAGGCTATAGAGAGAATCTGGGGTGGCAGGGGAGGCCCATGGTGATGCCCAGATGCCCAGTGGCCCCTGCCTTGTGCCTGGGCCAGACCAGAGCTGCCAGGAGACAGGGTCCCTGTCCTCTCCTCCTTTCACCCTCACCCCCAGCTCCCAGAGGGAGCTTTGGAATGGCCCCACCGGCCTCCAAGCCAGCTGGCACCCTCCCCCCACCCCCAGGCCCCCAACCAGGTTGAGCACTCACATGTGGCTCCCAGGCCGGTCCTCCCTGGTAAGCATCCCCTCCTTCTCCATCAGCATCTGCCGGAAAGTCCTGACCTTCTGTCGGGTCTCTTCCTCTGAGTACCTGCAGGGGCACAGGGAAGGTGAAGGCTGCTTTCTAGGCTTTGATCCCTCCCCACTTGCCCATGCCCCCAGCGCTTGGCCACAAGTGGACTTCCCAACTTGCAATGAACTGTCTGCCATCACACCCCCAAGCAAGGCTCTCAGCACTGGAGGAGCTCAAGGCCTCCCCATTTTGCACGAAACCAGCCAAACAAACAGCCAGACAAACAAATAAACTATAGGGAAGTGGTGTTCCCAGAGGTGGGGAGACATCAGGTGAGGCTGTGTCCTCCTTCTAGCCCTCCCCTGCACCCCGGGCAGTCCTTCCTCCCATATCCAGGCTGCAGCCACTCTAGAGACATTTTGGGGGAGAAGCAAGAATCCATGGCTTTCTCTGCTTTCCTAGCCCCAAGGCCATCTGATCCTCACGACACCCTTGGAAGTGCATCCCCACTTTTGCAAGATCAAGGCTGCCAAGTGGCTTGACCAGGATCCCAGTGTGAGATCCTCTGCTTCCTGGTCTGGGGTTGGGGGTGGTGAGGTCTGGGCCTTGAATGGAAGCTCCAAACCTCTCTACTCCCCTCTCCCTCCCTCTTTGTCTGGCTAGGGACCAAAGCCCAGAATGATCTACCCTTCATCTTTGCTCCCACACCCTGGGGTCTGTCATCATCCTCTCCCACTGTACCACTGTGACAGCCACTGTCTGGGCCTCCCAGCTACTCTGGCGTCTCCCTCTCCAGCCTGAGTCCATGCTGTCCCTGGGGGGTCTTTGCTTCCCCAGCCCCTTGTCCTGTGCCTGGCGCACTGCGTGTGTTCAGTGTCTGTTGCTGAAACAATATGGGGGTCCTAAGCCTCTTACTTTCCTCTTCCTTGGCTGCAGGTCTTTGTCCTGGAAAGAAAACATGGTGGTGAAAAGAAATGGGGGTCCTGTCTTTTCTCTGCCATCAGCTCACCATCCACACAGCAGGTCCTGCCCTTCCCATTCAGCCTGTCCTTGACAATGGCACCTTGTTTGCCCATCTTTTCCCTCCTCCCTTCTTTCAACAAGCACTGGGGACTGGCCCAGCCTTTTTAGAGAGCAATTTGGCAATTCTTTTCAAAGGCTTTAAAATATGAACGCTTCCTTTGACTCATAAATTAACTTTAAGGTTTCCCTGTGGAAATAATCATGGCTAAGCACAGAGATGTGACTCATGGGATGTTGAGAGCAGGACGGATACCCCTGACTGGGTTAGGTGCCCACATTTGTGTTTCCATAGCAACCTGTGCCTCCTGGATCCTGGCAGGTGGCTCATGTGCTAGTCATCACCTGCTGACTCCTGTATCCTGTGCTGGCCTGGGAGCTCCGCAGGGCAGGCAGAGACCTTGTCTATCTGAGCTGCCATTGTGTCCTTAGCATCTGGCACATTGCCCGACACATGTGGTATTCATAATTTTTTGACAAATGAGTGACTGGTGATGGAAAGGCACTGAAGAATATGAAGATTGGACTTTCAATTTGGATTTTCCATTGCGGGTCTGGGATTGCTGGATGGAACCTACTCAGAGTCTTGGGGAGGGACCCTCTATGTTTCAGTGTATCTTGCTGGGAGCAGCAGGGAAGCTGGAGATCACATCTGGTTATTCAGCAAAGAGGTTTCAAATGAGGTCACCACCTCTGAGTGTCCCCTCTGCTCCTATTTCTTGAGATCATCCCTCAGCTGAGAGCCACATGGGACGGCAATTAAGGGGAGAGGCAGGAGAGCCAGGCAGTCTTGTTTTTGAATCCTGATACTCCTCCTGTCCCTACTTTCTAGCTCTGTGACCCTGGACAAAGTCCATACACTTCCCTTACTCTTAGTATCCACATTTGTGAAATGGGATGGTAACCTGTCTTTCAGGGTTGTCATAAGGATTAAGGGAGATAATGCATATAAAGCACCTTATGCAAAGCACGGCACATAGTAGAGGCTCAATAAATGGTAGCAATTGATGATTATTTGCCCCAGTGCAGGGGAGACAGAGGGTCTAGTCAAGCTAGGCTCCCTGCCTTTTCCCACCCTGGCTGGGTCAGCATGGTCCCAGGTCAGGAATCACTTGGGCCTCTTCTCTCTGCTCTTCCAGGAGGCAAAGGCTGCAATGGGGAGAGACGGTGCTACCCAAACCATCCTCTCCCTGGGGAGGTGGCGGTGTCTGCCAACCTAAGGCCATGGAGGAGGCCTGGCTAGCAAGGCAAAGACTCAGACTGAAAGTCCAGGACGTGGTCAGGGGAGTGGAGCAGGGAGGGCGATAATGTCTGTCTCAGTGCCTGCCTCTGGCTCAGACATGCCCCCCCAGCCAGTCTGGCTCTTTCAGAGACAAGGGAAGGACATACCAAATCTGTTGCTGCTGTGGGGACTTTCTGGGTGGCCCTCTGGGGCTGGCGTGGGGTGAGGAGACACTGCATTTTAAAAGAGGCCCCTGGAGTGGAAAATGTTTCTTTCTGCCTGTCTCTGCTCAGAATCACTTCCTTGGTTGTTAATTTGATCTTCACCACAGCTCTGAGGTGGGTGGCCTTCCTATTTCCATTTTGCAGGTGAGGAAGCCCAACAGGGAGAGGGAGGGTTCCAAGCTCAAAGCCGTGCTCTGTCCACCTCAGGGGTGGTAGGTAGGGGGGGCAGGGGTAGGTCAGTGGGGGAATGTCAGAGTGACTCCAGTGCAGCCTCACACCAGAGAATTAACAGGCCATCCAGTAGCATTAAGGAAGGAATTGGTTTTTAATGGGGCCAAAGAATATGTGTTCCTGGGACTAGTAGGTATATTTATGAAGTGTCTGAGAACCTGGTAAGTAATGTGAATGGACCAGCATTTTTAGAAATGGATATTAAGGACTGGGTTTGATAAGACAGCAAGAGTCCCTGGTGTCTGTAGAGCACCTTCTGGGGACTGGCTGGGTAGGGAGAGCCCTGTGTGTGCCTTAGTCCACGGGACCCTCATAACAACTCCCTATGATACAGGCCAGTCAGTGCCTGTGGCTTGCCCAAGATCACAGGCCTGGACTGTTGAGGTCCAGAGCAGCTGTGCCCTTCACGAATCAGGATGCTGCCAAGGGATGGGGCGGGCAGGGGGACGGTAACTTGAGCGCTAGCTTTGTGGGAGATTGCAGTCTGAGGGTCACTTGGAGTTGGGCTTGGGTGGGGGAAGGGGCCCTGACCAAAGGGATGGGGCTCTGAGAGGGGAAGGGGACAGTTTCTAAGAATAAAGCACAGAAGTCTGGCCCGCCTGTGCCCCAGGCACCCCTCCTGTTCCCTTACCACACTCATTGAGTACACTCCCTTGGCTCCTGGAGTCTCCAAACTCAGCAGGATTTGCAGGTTTAATTAAGGTCCTGGGCTCTCTCTGTAGAAGGATACTCCACTCATGTGCACACTCAACCCTGCCCCTGGGGATCTCATTTCCTCTGTCCAGAACCACAGCTCATCAAACCTGTTTATACTGCCAGCTGGAGGCTTCCTTTCAGTCTTCAGCAGCCTTCCACCCATCTATCTCTGCAGGGACCGTCCCCACTCCAACCTGGTCCCCAGCCGGAGGTGAACACCAAGTCCCTACGCTCCTTTCTTTTCCTTACGAGTGGCCCTGACTAGCAGCCCCCTGGAGACCCTGGATTCAGGCCCAGCCATGTCCCTGTCTTCCTGATGGCTTTCAGCTAATGACTGTCTCTTTCTGAGTCTCAGTGCCTCCTGGGCTCCAGACATGGTCTTAGCTGCCTCTTAGGGAGCCCAGGAGGCCTGGATGGGCAGAGGTGTGGTTGGTTTGGAAGAACTGCTGTACACAGACTGTCTGTGCTGATGTAGCTCCAGGCCCAATGCACTGGGGATTTCTGATTTCTTGGCTCACTGACAGTGCAAATCTGATGGGCAGATATTGTTCCCCACTTTGACTCCCTCAACAGCCAGCCCACTGGTTTCAAAGTACTCAGGGTAGATGCAAAAGGGAGCTTTGGGACCACCAGTTTCCCTTGATGCAGCACACATGGGAATGTCTTTGCTCTCTGTTGCTTTGCCTGCAGCTCTGTGTGTGAGGGCTGTCTCATCTCCACTGACTTTCTGAGGAGGTCCCTAAGTCCTCACTGACTGATCTATGCACAACCCTTCCTTTTCAGCCTCAAGAACTCCTACACATTCTTCAAGGCCCATTCAAATGTCTTCTCTCAGAATTTCTCCTCTGAGCTCCTGAAGCACTTGGCCCTCTCCTGTCCTGTCCTATAACCATGATTCTGATCTGCTTTGTGGTACGGCTGGCTGTTACCACGACTGTTTCCCTTCTGAGATGGGGAGGGAGTTGGGGGTTGGGGAGTGGTCTTTGAGGAAGGGACTAATCCAGCTCTGGGGCCCAACATTGCCCTGCACAGTGCCTGACACACTTGTGAGCCCCGTGACTGGTTCTGAACTGGAAACCACAGTAGCCATCACACATAGTAACAGCCCTTTGTGCTTTTCTGCCTGGCTGCAGCACACGCTTGGCAAGTCCAGGCAGCTCAATCCGCCCATTTTATAGAAGGGGAAACTGAGGCCTTGAGTTGCCATTGATGTTTCCATGCCTTTCTCCCCTGCTGGACTGGATGTGTTTGGAAGGACTGTGTCTTCTTGGCTTCTGAGCCCAGTTCATAGCTTGGCACAGCTTACAGGACAAATAAGCAAATGAATGAATGGAAGTTCGGCTGGGCTTGCAATGGTTCCACGCTGAGTGGTTCAGACTCTGACCCCTTGCCTGACTCGGCTCCAGGGTCCCGTCCTGTCCGGCCCCGCCCCTTATCCCCGTCCCTGGCCCGCTCACCCCTGCTCCTCCATCATCTCCTGCAGCTCCATGCACTTGAGCTCCACGCGCCGCTTGCGTTCGTGGTCCAGGATCTCGCGGTGCGCGCGCTTCACCAGGCCCGGCTCCGCGGCCCGCAGCTCCTCCTCCGCGCGCGGCCAAGCCCCCGAGGAGGCGCCTGGCTGCGGGAAGCCATTGGCCGCGTCGGGCGGGGAGGGCATGCTGGCCGCCCCGTTGTTCACGGTGGAGGACATGGCAGCAGGCCCCAGAGCGGCTGGTCTCGGCCCTGCAGGACAGACACAGGCACCAGGTGCGATGGTCACTTTTCGGCCACCTGGTAAACTCCTCTCTGCGCGGGTTAATCCTGGAGATTTAAAGGCCCACTCACAGCTCTAATCCGCTTCCCCGCATGCTGCATAGGGGGGCGGACGGAAGGTTTACATCTTTGGGTCACACCTCAGGGCACAAGCGAGGCTTGGACACCAGGCTTTAACATCTGTAAGGTGGGGGATGCAGGCTGGATTAGATGGCCTCTAAGGACCCTTCGCTTGGAATCATCTCCGGGGATCTAGTAGGCACCTAGGGCAACCATCCCTTCCGTGTACCAATTCCTGGGTGTGCTGCTTGGCCCCGGCTTCCAGCTTCCCAGGCAACCAAATCGATCTCTGGAAAATCTGTTAGTTTCATTCTTGTTTTTCCTTGAGGCTCAGTTTTACCCCCTCCCTCAAACACTGTCTCTGGCCAGTAGGGTCACAGACTACATGCACTCCCACCTCCCAGACTGCTCCTGCAGCGATGGGAAGTCGGAGTCAACTCCATTCCCACCACAGATGCAGTTTTCAGCTCTCACTTTGATCTGGCCAGCTTCCCCAAAGCCAGCGTTCTAGGTGGGGCCCTGATCTAGATTGGAGTGCACAAGTCTGTGAAACTTCTGGAAACACTGCTTCTTAAGATGTGACCAAAAGTGGCACTGACGCTGGCTTTCCAGGCAGCCACACCCTCCTGCAGGCTCGAGAGGATGATGTGGAGTCAGCACGGCTTGGGAAGTAAGAAGCCCTAGCTCTATGCTAGGCCCAAAGTAAAGCATGCACGTGCCCGTGCCTGGGCACACATGCGCGTGCACACACACCAAAGACCTATCTTGACAGAGGGGAGGCACCTCCTGAGTTATTTCTATTTCCTTTCTCCAAGGTTCTGCTGGTTGCTAAGCAACAGGGAGGCCTCCTTCCCGGGAAGTGGGATTGGAAGGAGGGAAGGGGTGGAGGGAGGTGGGAAAGAGGCATTGGGCATGTCTGGACATCCCGGATGGGGGCTTTCTGCAACACAACCCCCAAAACACTCTGCCCTCACTGGCCTCAGAGTGATGGGGGTGGGAGGATTGAAAGCCATAAAGCCTGGAAGGGTGAGAAGAGATGGGGGGACCATGAGAGGCACAAGAGGCTCTGAAGGGGACAGAGTGTGACAGGCAGTTACAGTGGTGAAAGAACATAAGCTCCTTTTATATGTTCATCCCCGAAAGTCCCAAGTCCTTGAGTCCCAGGCCAGGCTCCTCCACGTCTTGCTGTGTGACCCTGAGGACGTCACTGACCCTCTCTGAGCCTTTGGTCCCCACCTGTGCCTAGAAGCATCATCCAGGCTCCTCTGGAGAGCAGGGCTCTTGGGGATTTACAGACCAAAGCTGTTCTTCTAACCTCTGTCTCCACCTCTAAAACCCTGCTGGGTCCCACCTCTGTCCTAGCTGAGTCCTGCACCCCAGCTCACCAGGGCTTCTCCTGGGTTGCCCCACAAGTACCACCCACTCACTCAGCCCCACACAGAGCTTTGGGAGTCCCATCCCCTGCCTGTCTGGGCCATGGTGCTCGGCTCATGGGTGATCCTTCCAGCTGTTGGCCACCCGAGCCAGGGATGTGTGTGGAGCTTGTTCTGGCCCAGCACAGCTCACCTGTCACCAAGTTTGGCCCCTCATCTCCTTTCTCAACATCATCCACATTTTTTTGCTTGCTTCCCTCCTGTCAGCACCAAAATCCAAGCCCCTCACCCTGGTCCCGTCTCAGTATCTTGCCTGGTGCCCCCATCCTCTCTGTCCATCTTCCATTGCAACCTGAGAGACTGGTTCAGGAGCGAATCAGATTAACAGCCTCTAGTGGCTTCCCCTTGCCTTGGCTTGAAGTGGTGGCCTGCCTTCTGGCCTAGCCACACCCCCACCCAAGATTCGCCATCTCTTGCATCTAGGCTTTTCCACTCGCTGCTCCCTCCTAAATCCATGTGTCCTCAGAGTCACCACTTGTAGGCATGACCACCTCTTGGGAGCCTTTCCTTACTCCTCTGGCTGGTGCTACCCTCCCAGAGCCCTTGCCACTATTGGCACTGTGGGCTCACAGATCTGGCTTCCTCTGGGCTGAGGGCTACTTTCAACTCCTGGCGCCAGCAGAGGACCTGAGCAGGTAGAGCTCAAGGTGCAGGGGTGGAACAAATGGAAGATGATTACAATGGGAGATGGGATAGAGGAATGCCTGGTGCCATTCCATAATGCAGCCTGAGAGACCCCTTTGCATTGTGCCGTATGCTATCTCACAGCTTCATCCCTTGCTGCACCTCATCCTGCAACCCACATCCAGCCCCTTAGCCTTAGTCATCTGTCCCCAGAAATGTGCTCTCACTCTCTGTGCCTTTGCCTGTGCAGTTACCCTGTGCTGGAATTCCATTTCCTCTCTTCTCTACCTGGGCAACTTCTACTCATCCTTCAGAGCCCAGTCTGAATGTCCCCTCCTCTGGGAAGCCATCCCTGCTTCTGAGGAAAGATAAGTCATTCCCTCTTTGTGCTCCCACAGGTTTGTTCTCACCTCCTTAGATGCCTAAGTTCAAACTTGTCTGCATATGAACCCTCTCCTCCCCCTCCTTCTGGACTGTGAGCCCTTCAAGAGGAGAGATCCCTTTGTTCTGGCTCCCCAGAGCCTACCCAGCACCTGGCAGTGCAGGAGGTGAGCCAAGGGTGTGGGGAGAAAGTACTTAGGTTCTGGTTATCCCACAGAACCCGTGGAGCCAGGTTCTGAGCAATGCTGGTCTGCATGCTTTCCCTCTGACAAGGGCAGGCTACCCAGCCTAGAACTTGGCCTGAGCTCTTGAGGGTAGGGTAGAGGAAGCTGGTGGAAGTAATTCTGAATGCACTCAGATCTCCAGACATTGAGAAATTTTATCCCCAGCACTAGGTGCCTGCATACAATTGCTAGGCTGAGGGCAATCTTTCAGGAATGACTAAGAAGGAAAGGAGGGGGTAGGAAGGCCCAGGGGGCAGACGTCTGGATTTTCACTAGGATAGATGGTGGAGTACATCAGTTTTACCTGGCAAGTTGGAGAGCACCAGGCAGGAAACCAAAGCAGGTCTGTTAAAAGAATGACCCAGAACCCATAGCGGAGGAGCCAGGCTCCTAAAATAAGTCATTGCACACTAAGCTCACTTCTTTCCAAGTTGGGGCTGCTGGCCCAGCAGACCTGGGAGTTACTGCAGGCACAGGGTCTCTCCATGAGGCACCTGACATTATCTTTTATGGAGTCCTTGTCAGATTTCACGAAGAGAGAGAAAGCATGCTGGTGGGAACTAATATTCTGTACCGTTGTTTCTAACTGATGGATAGATCAATCTGTGCTCCAAGGGAGTTGATTAATGGGTCAATGTCACATTAGATGAAAGTGTTTAGTGGGAGACCACAGGGCTCTGTCCTCATGGATGTCTGATCCAATTCGGTCACCACTGGCTGATGGAACACTGATAACTGGGTGATCAGATTCACCAAGGACAGCACTGGGGAAGGCTCAGAAATAAACAGTCAGACTCTGAAAAGGGCTCAAAAGACTGGGAAGAGGGAAGGAATCTAAGAAGGTGACACAGGATAGTGAGAAAGGCCTCATTCTGAAGCTGGGTCCCACACTTCCTAAAATTGGAAGGGGGTCAGGTATAGTTTAGAAGCAGCATCCTTGCAAAGGATTTAGGGGTTTTCAATGGTCACAGACTCACTTTGAGTCAGTATCATGATGTGGTTGCCCAAAATGCACGTTATTTTATGCTGTCAACAAAACGACAATGTCTAGAATGGGAAGATGAGGCTATACAGGTGGTCAGAACCCCTATCTTGAAGGATTGTAGATGATTTAGGCTGAACGTGGCTGAATCTGTGGGGAAGCTTGTTAGAAACTGGTAGGATTGCCAGATTTGGCAAATAAAAATACAGGAGGCACAGATAAAATAAATTTGAATTTCATGAATTTCTTATTTGGGGTATACTTATGCTTAAAAAAATTCATTGTTTATCTGAACTTCAAATTTAACTGGGTGTCTTGTACTTTATATGTCAATCCTACCTGGGACCCACCCCACACTTGCTGAATTGAAAGCTCTCGGGGTGAAATTGTTTATGTTCCCCAGATTAATCTGATATGGAGTATCTGTGGACCAGCCACTGGGAGCTAGTGTCTGGAGCCGAGGTTCTCAAATCTTATTAGGCATCAAAATCACCTAGAGGGCTTGTAGATCTGGGGCGGTGTCTGAGAATGTGCATTTCTAACAAGCTCCTAAGTGCCTCTCATGCTGCCCCATCTCACACCACGCTGAGAGGAGCTAATCTGGATGGTTCTAGAAGCCAGGACTCCTGCAGGGAAATCATCTAGAGAGGACTTCATCTAAGTCCAAGAAAGGACTTTTTTCCCCCTAGTAATCAAAACTTAGAAAAATAAAATAAAAGTAAGCAACTCAGTCATTCTAGGATGAGTTCCCCATTACGAGAACTGTTCAAACAGGAGATAAGACACTATTTGCACAACACTCACTCACCCAGCATCTACTCTGGGCCCCACCCTATGAAGGGCTGTCAATTTGGAATTGAAGGAGACCCTGTCTGGGAGCTCAGTGGTATGCGGGAGACCAAGAGGTATGGCAGTGCAGTGTGATAAGAGACTTTGACGAGTGTCTGCGGCCCCACCTGGCTGGTCAGGGCAGGCTTCCTGGAGGAAGGGCTGGAAGGGGCTGGACACAGGGGAACCAAAGCCTAGACCATGATTCCAGAAATAAACAGGAAGACAGCAGGACTGGGACTGGCTGGATGTGGGGTTGGGTGCAGGTGTCTGGGATGACACTGAGTTTCTGGCTTGAGTGCCCTGGTGAATGGTCATTTACTGTGATGGGGAACATGGAGGGCAAACTGGGGGTGTGCTCAATGAGAGCCTGTGAGGGTCCAGAAGGCAGATACAGAGTCTAGAGCCATAACCCTAACCAAGCCTAATTTGCTGAAG